GATTGTTCGAGCGGCAAAAGGAAAAAAGCCTTGGTCCAGTCTTGTTAAAAGCAGTGAAGCAATTAATTACTTTTCCTTTGTATGGAGATCGAATAGAGATTAAACTTCTTACTTCACTTATTCAAGAGGAAGATGTAAGCGTCGTTATTCTTAGTTTTGCGTTCTGTTCAAGACTGGTCACGAAAGAAAAATAGTTGTGACTGATTTTTCTAGTTGTAATAATATTTAGTATTATCTTAACTAACAAGATAAGTAATAATAAGTAAGTAGGAACCGATTCAAAATAAAGCTTAAGCAAAAATCCTGCTAAATCTGTAGTGATAAATGGTGTGATGGATATCCATCAGTGTGCGAGAGTTAGTCTCAACAACCTAACAAACCTGAACAACCCAAGATTAGGAAATGCACCTTAAAATAATTACGGGAGCAAAAGCGAGGAAGACGATATAAGTAATATTTAATTATAAATTTAATCATTTATTTTAGGAATATCTTAGCTATACACAATCTAAATCTCTAAGTTGATCAATTTCAAGCCGACGCTATTCTAATTTAAATATCTAATTGACAAATCGTCAGTTTTAAATATTAAGCAAGTAATCTATGGAACACTTTCACCAAGTTTTCTATTGAAAATATATTATTTATTTATTTTTAATTACATATTACAAACTTTAAATTTCAGATGGCAGCGCTAGTAATAAAATTGTATTGCTATTTAGTTTTTTGCGAATGGCAACACGAGTTGTTCTGTTCGATTCTTTATATATATAAAGGAGAAAGCGACTCACTCACTGACTGACTGACTGACTAAACACGATATCTCTGGAACTATTCAACCTACAGACTTGAAATTTGGTAGACATGTTCCTTTCATAGAGTAGACATCAGCTAAGAACGGATTTTCCGAAATTCGAAACGTAAGGGGCATTACGGGGGGGGGGGTTAAGGGGCGTTATAAATAATTGTTTCCAAGTTTAAACTACTCGATGTACAACTTTGAAATTGGGTAAGAAGATTCCTTTCATACAGTAGAGATCCGCTACAAAATGAGTTTGGTGAAAATTGACCCTCAAGTGGCGTTTCAGGGGGCGTGCTTAGGGGGCGTTATAGATAATTATTTCCATTTTTAAACTATTTGACGTACACTTTTTTAATTTGATAAATAGATTCCTTTCGTAGAATAATGATCAGTTACAAAACGGGTTTTGTTAAAACAGACTTCTAAGTGGCGTTGTGGGGGATTAAGGGGCGTAATAGATAAATATATCCGTTTTTAAACTACTTCACCTACCTGCTTGAAAATTGGTAGGTAAGTTTCTTTCATGGAGTAAATATCTGCTACAAAATGGGTTTTGAGAAAATTGACCCCAAGGGGTGTTGCGGGGGCGAGGGGTTTAAGGGGCGTTATAAATTCCTATTTTTAAGTTATTAGACGTACAATCTTGAAACTTAGTAAGCAGATTCCTCTCCTATGGTAGAGATACGCTACAAAATGGGTTTCTTGACAATTGCCCCCAAGTGGCGTTGCGGGACTTAAGGGGCGTTATAGATAATTATTTCCATTTTTAAACTATTAGACGAACAGTCTTTATATTTGATAAATAGATTTCTTTCATAGAGTAAAGATCAGCTATACGAAGGTTTTGTGAAAATACATTTCTAAGTGGCGTTGCGGGGGATTAAGTGGCGTAATAGATAAATATTTTCGTTTTTAAACTACTTCACCTACCTGCTTGAAAATTGGTAAGTAAGTTTCTTTCATGGTGTAAATATCCGCTACAAAACGGGTTTGGGGAAAATTGACCCCCAAGGGGTGTTGCGGGGGGTGAAGGGCAGATATAAATAATTATTTCTATTTTTAAACTATTAGACGCACAGTCTTGAAATTTGGTAAGCAGATTCCTCCATAGGATAGAGATACACTACAAAATGTGTTTTGTGAAAATCGACACCTAGGGGGCGTTGCGGGGGTTCAAGGGGCATTATTGATATTTTTTTTGCATTTTTAATTTATTGGACGTACAGTCTTTAAATTTTGCTAAGCAGATTCCTTTCATAGAGTGCAATTCCCAAACAAAATGAGTTTTGTGAAAACAGACCCTGAAGTGGCGTTGAGGGGGCTCAAGTGGCGTTATAGATAATTATCCCCATTTTTAAACTATTAGACGTACAGTCTTGAAATTTGATAAGCAGATTCCTTTCGTAAAGTAGAGGACCGCTACAAAGTGGGTTTCGCGAATATCAACTACCAAGCTTAATTTCGGGAGATTAAGAGGCGTAATCGATAAATATTTCCATTTTTAAACTATTTGATCATCCTGCTTGAAAATTGGTAGGCATGTTCCTTTCATGGAATAGAGTTCCTCTAACAAAGAGTAAAACGAAAATCGACCCCTAAGGATGGTTGCGAGGGGTCAAGAGGAGTTACAGAAAAAAATTCCTGTTTTTAATTGTTAGACCCATATACTTGAAATTTGTTAAGCATGTTTCTTTTGTTGAATAGGGATCCACTAAGAATGCATTTTAAGCAAATCAAGTTCTGAGGGGGGGTTGCAGGGGGTTACTGGGACGTATTGACAAAAAAAATTTCTTTTTTCGAGCTACAAGGACTATGATAATGAAATTTGGTTTGCATTTTTCTTTTGTTGAGTTGAAATCTGCTAAGAGCGGTTATTTTGGAAAACGGCTCTCAACGGGATTACGGGAATATTGATAGTAAAACTTTTGTTTTTTCTGTTAGATTTAGACTTGAAATTTGGCTTGCATGTTCAATTTACGGAGTAGAGATCCACAGAAAATTGGTTTTGCGGGAATCCACTTGGTTTTTTTTTGTTACGAAAGAGCAAACATCATTCTATACTTCAATTTTAGAGATTTTTAGAAAATACAAATTAGATGAGTTCTGCCCTTTTTTTTTTTTTTTTTTGTCAACAGGTGACAGTTAAAGGTATAAGTATATTTTTCAATACAATCGAATTCTTAATGCTAGGACTTAGATATCAATAATTTATACATATATATAATCAGTAAAAATTTATAAAACATCATGAAATACCCAGCGAAGCGGGCGGGTAACGGCTAGTGTTAGAATAAAGTTCTTTTTTGATCGGTGATCTTCGAAAACATTTATCTCTTTTATTTCAAATTGCTAGCCACCGTAGCACGAGTTTTAGTTAAAACTACTTCGATTTAAAAGTGTGGGAAAAGTGATTCGGTGTCCTTATAATATTTTTGAAAGCTAAGAAAATTAGTTTAGATTTTCTTTTGGAAGCCTTAACACTTTCTCTAATACTTTACGTTAATCACTCACTGCTATCACTTATCTTCTAACATCTCTCTCCTCGAACCTGAAAGTTAATGTTTCAATATAAGCCTTGATTTGCATAAGTTACATCTTCTTCTTCGGGAGAAAGTTTTCAATAGAATAATATTTAAAGAAAGTGTTTTCCCAAGAGAATTAGAAAGAGGAACGCGAATAAATCCGTTACAATGGTTCCAGAAAGCGTGTTGCTCCCTAAATGCGTGATTTATGTTTTTGTTTTTTTTTAATTTTGGGCAATTTACTGTAGTTATTAAATTATCTGCTCTACGAATAATAAGAAGGCTTAGTTTATTACCAAACTGAAGTTGAGGTAACGGAACCTACATTTTGAAAAAGTAGGACATTTATCTTGACTACTTTTCTACTCCATTTTTAAAACTGATTTCTGTGTGTCAGGGGTGGGCAATTGATTTAACTCGAGGGCACGCATTGTTGAAGCGGAGAGAACCGGAGGGCTGCACCTTTTTAAACTGATTGCATTCACTAGTTAACTTTTCATCTCAGAAAAGGTATGAATTCTACCGGTGAAAAAATCAATAAATATAAATTAAATAAAATAGTGGCAGTTTTATTTATTTTTTTACTGCGCTATTTTTATATTGTTTATAGCTGCAAGCGCATTTAATTTTAGAATCCCTTTAATTAACCAATTGTACCCTTTATCGCATTTTTTCTACAATTTTTTTTAAAATTTGGAGTGAAATTGATTGTTGAAGCTCTCATCACAGCCTGCAAGTTAATATCAGTTAATTTTCTATTTTTTTTAAATATTTACTCTTGTTGATTTGTGGCCACGGTAGACAAGTAGTCAAGGTAACGGATTCGGGGCTGGCGTGCCATGGTTCGAGTCCAGTATCACTGAAGACCCATCGTGTAAGGGAGAGATGCACGTTAAAACTGTCGAGAGCTCAAACGTCCTCCCGCTGGTGTGGTGTGGTAGTTAGGAGGAGGGGGTGCCCCCTCAGGTGTCGTCCTCGTCACTTGACCATGGTTAAAATGACGAGGTTCATCGCCAAAATCCCTCGTGTAGCTGAGACGTTAATATTCATTCACTCACGCGCAAGTACAGTTTTTTGAACATTTTCTCGACAAGGAATCTAGATGCACAGTGAGTGAGTGAATATTAACGTCGCACCTCTCAGCTACACGAGGGATTTTGGCGATGAACCTCGTCATTTTAACCATGGTCAAGTGACGCGGACGACATCTGAGCTGACACCCCTCTCCTAACTACCACACCACACCAACGGGATAAGTCCAGCATTCTCGTATTCTCGACAGATTTAGCGTGCATCGTTCCTGTACACGGCGGGTCTTTAGTGGTACTGTGCTCGAACTCATTCACATGCATGCCATGATCCGATACCTTGACCACTCTGCTACCGCGACCACATCCAGATGTGCAGAGTTTGAGTGCTATTTTTGGGGTACTCTGTAAACGGTAACGGTTATACATTTACGTGGAACCTTAGAGAAAAATCTCTACCATCCACTCATCATAATAAGTAGAAAAAAATAAGAATAATTAGCTGAAGTGTTACATAAGAATATAAAGCAGTCCGCAATGAGTGCAGCGCAACAACGCTGGTGGAGGGGTAAGTGGGAAACCACTCATCCAGTTGATTTAGTTAATGTCACATCTCTGACAACCACGCAAGTCTTAAAACACTTTAATTGCTTCTACCGGGAATCGAACTCGGGTCACTCGATTGGGAAACGAGCATCCTATCATTGAACCATCGGTGCCACTTAGGATACCCTGTGTAAAGCATATAAACGTAAAATAAATATTCTCAAAATGTCCTAAGAAATTGTCATTTTTTTTGTGTCAAATTTAGTATTTGCATAATTAATGATTTTGATACATTATAGACAACGGTTATCAGTGAGTTCCCTTGAAGCCTTTCTGAAAACACTTAAAGTAATTCCCAGAATCTAACAAATATACAGTTATAAATGCTTCCGTATATCATATTTCACAATTCACTGATTGAGTGACTAATAAAATATAAAAACATTTGTCCATAATTACGGTCATCAGTGAATGTAAATATGCAAGGATAAAAATAACCCTCTGATTTAACTTGAAACGAGCTCCAGAGACCTTCAATAACGAATTTCTATCCGTGTTATTTCAATGCGGAATTGTAACTGTAATAGTGACCTGTCTTTATGAGATAAACCAGAAAATTATTGATTCAGTTTGTTTAAATGCGAACTATGACTACAGCAAGAAATGACTAGGATCAAATTAGATGCAAATGCGGAATCAGCAGTGTTATCTATTTTTACTTATTATGAGATATTCTAAATAATAATTTATGATCGAAATATGTGTTTATAAAGCAATAATAATGAAATAATAAACAATAATAATGAAATTATATAATTATAAATTATACAATCGAAATATTTTTTTTTTATTTAACACTAGCTGAGTGAGTGAGTGAGTGAGTGAATATTAACGTCCCACTGTTCGGCTACACAAGGGCTTTTGGGGACGGTCCGCGTAATTTTGAACCATGGTCAAGTGACGCGGACGACACCTGAGCTAGCACCCCCTCTCCTAACTACCACACCAACGGGAGGACGTTTGAGCTCTCGACAGATTTTACGTGCACCGCTCTCCTACACGGTGGGTCTTCAGTGGTTCTGGGACCGAACTCATGACATGCTAACCACGATCCGATGCCTAGACCACTTGGCTACCGCGGCCAATAACACTAGCTGAAGGGCTCGTTCTCGCACGGGTTAAATTTTTAAACATAAAATTCGGTTCTTAGCAAGCATAATATTTTTATGTGTGTTAAGTTCGGTGCAAGATAATGTTACCAAAAATGTAGAATATTTTTCAAAGAATGCTCACGTTATTAATATTTTTAAACGACCTTCAATTTGGCTTTAAGGTAAAAAAGGAATTAACAGAAACAAACATTTGACTCTAAAAGAAAAAATTAACATGCAATAAGGATAAATAAAAAAGAATGAATGAAAATATTATGACAGAAAAGTAATACCAGTTGTAAGCTTCTGCTCTATGGTCACTGGGACGACCTGAAACACAGATGAACAAAAAAAAAAAAAATTAACTGTAAAATCATAAAGTATTCATACTTCCAATTACTACCATAAATAGATAATATTATGTAGCCTCTAACGGAATAAAAATTAAATTAATATAAACAGAATAGAAAAATGATTTAAAATAAATAAAATATACAGTGTATTCAAAAAGTTCCAGGACTGAATGCACACAGACAACATAACACAGCAAAATTAAGTTTATTTAATATCAAGCTTCTACATAATCCCCCTGCACTTCAATACAACGTTTGGATCTTGTATAAAGATCTTTGAACGCCTTCTGGAACGCCTCGACTGCAACACTCTGCAGGTCCCTTGTCACTGACGCTTCGATGTCCTCTACCGACGCGTACCGCTGTCCCTTCATCTTCAATTTCAACTTTGGAAACAGAAAATAGTCCGGAGGGGACAGGTCAGGTGAATATGGGGGGGGGGGTCGATGGTTACAACCTGCCTGCGCGCCAAGAATTGCTGAACAATGATGGATTTGTGTGACGGTGCATTGTCATGCAAGAGACACCAGTTTCCACTGTCCAACATTTCGGGTCTCACACGCCGCATTCTCTTCAGTAGCCGGTGTAGCATATCCTTGTAAAAGGCACCAGTGACAGTGGACCCTTGTCGAAGGAATTCGTGGTGGATAATTCCTCGAATGTCGAAAAACACGAGCAGCATCGTCTTTGTTTTTGATTTTGACGCACGAACTTTCATCGGTCGACCCTTTCCCGGACTTGTCCACTCCGAACTTTGGCGTTTAGTTTCCGGATCATATTCGAGGCACCACGACTCGTCTCCGGTGACGATGGTTATCAAAAAGTTAGGGTCTTCATCGGCCGCGGCAATCAAATCTTCGGAAGAAGCAATTCGGTGTTCTTTTTGCTCCGTAGTCAGAGTGTGTGGCACAAAGCGCGCACAGAGTTTCTTTTTCTTTAAATCCTCCGTCATTATCGTAAAAACAGACCCTACACTCATGTCTGAGCGCACCAACGATTGCACTCGTTCGACATTTTCATCAGTCCGACTCGAACGTGGACGACCACACCTCTCATCATCGTCCGTCGCTTCTCTTCCATCTCTATAAACCTTGCAAACCACTCAAACACACGCGAACGACTCATAGCCTCCTCACCATGAACAGTTTTAATCATTTCATAGGTTTCTGTGGCCGTTTTACCCAATTTAAAACAAAATTTAATGTTCGTTCTTTGCTCCATTTTTTAACGATGACACGACCACTATAACACACCACACTCGAGTGAACGCTGAGAAGTTGGAACTCATCCAAACGGAATAAAACTTCGCGCATGCGTCGGAGAAGGTTGTTACTACGCGCTCCATGAATTGCGCAGAGATAGCGCTACCTGTACTGTTTTACTAGCGGCAGTCCTGGAACTTTTTGAATACACTGTATAGATATACGTTGGATAAAACTATGATCACTAACAATGCCGAAAAGTAAGAACGCAAACCGTATTGCCAAAAAATTAATTTTTTAAGCCATACTTTTTTGCAATATTTTACTTAAAAATAACTGTAATTCTGTTTCAAAGAACAAACAAATGCATGAATTATTAGAATGATAAAGAACTACACCGAAGACTAAAATATACTTCATATAAGGATTTTATAATATGTGTAAAATGTGAGTACTTACATATTATACCGTGAGCTAATTTCATCCAATGGAAAAAAGTCGCCAAATGCCTCGATATGCAGCCAATAATGAAAAACCGTTTACATGCTTGTTCAAACGCAATAATTTCCTAAGACTAGCCACTGTTGCCACAGTAACACATAAAAGATTATAGCCTTAAGATTTCCGTTTACGGACCATTTTGAAACCGTAAATGCAATGTTAATTCTATGGAAATTTTACTTTCCGCCTCAAAATCGACCAATGTTTGTTTCGATTTAAAGGCAATAAAATGCATCCAAAAGAGTAAAAATAATGATGGTTTCTCTAGGAATTCGTTTCTCCCCCGATTTCTGGCTATATTTTTAGGACTCTTTTAATGGTTCAATTGTGAATTTTCAGATTTTTAATATATATATATATATATATATATATATATTTGATGGTGCACCCGAGTTAAGGAACAAAAACATTTTCGTGGATTTTCAGAAACTACTAAATATGATAATAAGATACGCGATTAAAACAACAAAAGTAAAAATATAAGTTTAACACTTATCTTTATTATCTAATAAAATTCTACCTCTCTTTTATTTTATGTATACAATAGAACATCGTTTATCCGAATCCATTGGGACGGACATCGTTCGGATGCGCGATTGTTCGGATAACAGAAAACCGAATGCGATCCATGCAGTATGGTCCCTATACAAATATTAAAAATCATCCCATGCGGGAGACGTGCTTGAAAAAAAGAAAAATAGGTGCCAAATGTCGCAATTTTACCTTGATTGGGGAAAATAATCACTTATTTTTCGCTGTACCATTGTACACCTTCGTTTTTTCGATGCAAGGTCTCTGATTCTCTTGAGCAGCAGTAGTTGAAATAGAACAGCACTCTGATTGTTGTTCGTAAGACTCCATAGCTGTCTCTAACACAGAAACGCGGCTACTTTCGTTGATGTTGTCCTCATTTTCATCCGTTTCATCGTCGACAGGGTCGGATTCTTCTTGCATGAAAGTCACAATCTCATCATCATTTAGCATTTAAAAGCCACAGCCTTCTGCATCGCATGCCATCCAGGTTTCTACATAAACAAAACTCAACAAAAGAACACGTATACACTCCTTGGAAACAAACTGATCTAATATTCCGCGCAGATGTTTACCAAATCACACAGCTAATATTCCCCAAATTTACCTCACCTTGGGTTTTCCGTCATTTTTCGCCTCACAGGAAACAAATGTTGAGCATTGCACTGTTCGAAAATGTATCCGGACTCTGGTTCGTATATTTGACGCTCCGGATAATAAATGTTCGGATAAACGATGTTTTACTGTATTGAGAAAACTGATGAAAAAAGTACTTCAAACACAACTCTGTGTGATTGTAGCTTTGATAGTATCTGCAAACCACTTGTCGGTAACCTATGGGCATGTGATACAGTTTTTTTAGTGGCACTCAGCAAAGTTAACTGATGACGTCAAATCTCTTTGTCTTTTCTCTCTGCTCCTCCTGAATTTTCTCTCCTTTCGTTTGGTTAGTTAATTATTTTTTATTGAATGAGATTCCAATTTATATTAGTATACAGTGGTTTGGCACCGCACACACAGCTTCAAGGCTCCCGATCCCTGTTCTAAGCGCTTATAATTATTTTTGGAAGCAATGGCTGAAAGACAACATATTGTTGAGAGATTATAATGGAGAGCATTTGGGTGGCAGGTCCATTCCAAAAGAGCTCATTGTGTCCTGAAATGTGGTTTCCAGATTATGAAACCAAATCTAGAAGACCAGGGCAATATTCAGAAGGCCAGTTACTAGTCCTAGAGCCACCACAAACTAGGATGACCAAAACTCGGTTTTTTTTTGCAAGGCACAAGAATTATTCAACTCAAGAGAATTATTCAAGAGTTATTCAACTCAAAAATGAGCTCTCAGCTGCTTCTGGTACCTAAATTTCGAAGTACAGTAGAACGTCGTTTATCCGAATCCATTGGGACCGGACACTATTCGGATACGCGAT